AAGCCCAGATGGGGTTACAGAGAGTTGGGAATGACTGAAACAACTGAAAAACACCAACAATAACAAAAATAGAATGAGACACCACTGGGAATAACAAATGAGTAGTGAGTTCTCCGTCACTGGATGTCTTCAGGGAGAGGCTGGACAACCAGCTGAAAACAGGATTCAAGATGTCGGTATGGGTCAGGTTGAGGTTAGGGCGTCTGAGGTTTCTTCCAGCTCCTCAGATTTTATGACTTTGTGATTGTCAGCCACGGCATTTGAGGTCTTCCTAGAGATGGTAATTCGGGGGTCCTTAGCTGATCAACAAGTTTTCATTCAATGTCTCTGTAAAACACAGGGTCCTTGTCCTAAGTGGAAAGGCCAAAGTACCTAAGAGGAAAGATACAACTAAGCCCACAGGTCTGTGTAGAATGAACATCTGACCATTGGAGGGCACAGACAAGGCTGAAGGAGTAGGCAAATGCGGACAATGGTTATCCGGGTGGAAAGACTGGCACAGTCTTCAGAGGGTAGCAGTGGTTGGAGGGATCCTTCCTCACTCAGGAAACACTGCTGAGGAGGGACATACGTACTTCCCTTGCCCTCTATCCCAGCAGAGAGAGGAAGAACTAGAACGGGGGGCCATCAGTGGGCACTCACAACGGCCGTCCTTACCCATGGAGGCTGGCCCAGAGAACGGACTGTAACAGAACAGAACCTAAAATGGGGATGGGGTGGATTTAAAGTTTCATTATTGGGTGGCACAGCCCAGCCACAAGGCCTGATGCAAACACTATTTCTCCTTTTTCACCGAGGTGGCTTTCACTCTGAGAAGCCCTTTCTGGCCCTTTCTGGGGCTAACTACTGACGCTGGGATCAGGGAGGAAACTGACTTCCTGTCAGAGGTAACAGATGTTCCAGGATGGGGTGGCCTGGAGGGACCATAGTGTGAGAATGGGTAGGGACCTTAGGGTCATCTACTCTAACCCACTCTCTTCACAAGTGGGGAAACTGAGGCCTGGAGAGGTGATTTGTCTAAGGTCACACAGGTAATAAGTGGCAGACTCTGGTATTTGAACTCAGGTCTCCTGAGTCCAAATTCTAGGATTCCACAGCTGAACTACCTGGACGTCTCCAGCCATGCCATCTCTACCCCTTCCCCAGTGGAAAACTAGACCCTGCTCCTAGGACCTCCCTAGGCTTGCTCAGTTTCAGGACTTTGCAGGGCATCACTAGTGCGTGGCTATTGTACATGCACAGGTCTCACCAGCCCTCACTTTCCTGTGCCCCTTTATATGTTGTCTTCTTTAAAATGTAATCTTCTTGAGGGCAGTGACTGGCTAGCAGGCTTCTCTTTATAAGCCCAGTGCTTAGCATAGTGCTGGGCACAGAGTAACTACTTAATAAATGCTCTATCTATCCTTCAGTCTTCCCTCTATCCCATCTATCCACGAGCCTTCCCCTCAACTATGGCGGCTCTTCCTGTTTGCCCTGAGTTACAGGGGGGAACCATCAGTGGCTTAAATCCCTGGACGCTCTGTCCGGGAGCTCGGCAGGCAGCGTGAACACAGGCCCACCCTGACCAGAAAGCAGATGGTTTAGGCTTTGCTGGACAAAGAAGGGTGGACCTGTGCTCTCAGAAGCACCAAACTCATTGATGCCCACAAAGGGCGGCACAATCGTGAAACCGACTGAAAAATGACGGGCCTTCTCCGGCACTCCCCCAGTCCCTCTCAACCCTGCTCCCAGCCCTCACTGACAACACTGACAGGCATGTGGCGGGTGTAACCCAGAAACTGTAAGAGTTGCCACCCTTTTCTGCTTGTTCAAATTTTTAAAGTTTATTTTTAAAATTTAAATGTTTTGGGGGTTTTACTTTTATTTTTACTTAAGAATTTTTTTGGGGAGGTTACTTTTGTAACAATACTCAGAAAGCCAAACTGGTAAACATAGGAAACTCAGAGACACATCAGAGGGGCTCCTCTGTTGGGAAAGGGAAGGGGTTACAGATCATTGGAGCTGACCATCAAGTCCATACCTCTCATTTTTATGGAGGAAGAAACTGAAGCCAAGAGAGGACATAGGATTATAGGCTTAGAATTGGGAGAGATCTCACAGTTAGGGGTTTTTTTTTTTAATCTATTAACAGATGGGGAAACTGAGGCAAGGTCAAGTGACTTGCCCAGAGTCACAAAACTAGCAAGTGTCAGAGGTGGGATTTGAACCCAGGTCTTTTCTCCGAGGCCAGTCCTGTAGCTAGAATACCAAACATACTCAGAATCATCCACATGAAACAGAAAAACACTCCGCATCTTCTGCTTTGGTTTTCCCCAAAGTATTTTCACATCTGCTCTCAGATCTGATCCTCCCCATCCCAAAGAAGGGAGAACACGGAAGATCTACCACACAGAGAATAATGGTGATGCCTGGCCTTCCTGTAGCAGGGCCTTTCTGCTATCTCGTCCGACCCACAAGATGACCCTGGGAGGAAGGCAGTACAAACTGCTATCATTGTTGTTCAGTTGTTTTTTAGTTACGACTGTCTGTGAATCCATTTGTTTTTTGTTTGTTTGTTTGTTTGTTTGTTTGTTTTTGTTTTTTTTTTGGCTGGGCAATGGGGTTAAATGACTTGCCCAGGGTCACACAACTAGTAAGTGTTATGTGTCTGAGGCCAGATTTGAACTCAGGTCCTCCTGAATCCAGGGCCAGTGTTCTATCTACTGCGCCACCTAGCTGCCCCTTGTTTTTTTTTTTTTTTTTTTTTTGTGGCAACTGGAGTGGTTTGGCATTTCCTTCTCCAGCTCATTTTACAGATGAGGAAACTGAGGCAAACAGGATTAAGCGACTTGCCCCGGGTCACACAGGCAGTGAGTGTCTGAGGCTGGATTTGAACTCAAGTCTTCCTGCACATCTAGCTGCTCTATAAAACATCATTATCCCCATTTTAAAGATGAGTCAACCGAGGCTCAGATAGGTGAGTGAGGCACCTGAGGTTACAGAGCCATTAATGTCAGATCTGGAACTTGAACCCCATCCTCCCGACTCCCTTCTCTCTCTCCGTCACCCCCTACATCCAGTAGGTTGCCAAGTGTTGCTGCTTCCACTTTCACAACATGTCATGCATCCGTGGCTTGTTCGTGCTCCCACAGCCACCAACCTAGTCCAAGTTCTCATCGCCTTTCAGACCAGCAACTTCCTAGCCGGTCTCCCTCTCCAATCCACCTCTGACGTGGCCGTCAAAGCAATATTCCTAAAGCCCTGATCTGACCACACCGCTCCCTTGTTCAAGAAATTCCCACGCCTCCCAATTGCTTTTTAGATAAAACACTAGGTCCCTTGGTTGGTATTTTAAAATCTTTCCAGGCTTTATTGTACATCATGCCTCCCACAGGCTCTACTGTCCAGCCAAGTCAACATCCTTGTTGTTTCCCATACCCAACATTCCATCTCTTGGCTTTTGCAGTCTCCCTCATGCCTGGAATGGCTTCTCTCTTCACCTCCCCTTTTCAGAATCTTTAGTTTCCTTCAAAGCATAGCCCAGGTGGCATCTGCCTCAGAGGCCTTTCCTGAGTCCACTGGCTCCTGGTGCCCATGCCTAAAAGGAAAACACTCTGGACTTGGATCATGAGCAACCATGACTTCAGAGGACCTGAGAGGAAACGCTGCCCATCTCCTGACAGAGGGGCCCAGGATGCAGAACGAGAGACACATTCTCGGCCCTGGCCAAGGTAGGAATCTCTTTGGCTTGACTACGCACATTACGAGATTTTTGTTTTTCCTCCCCAATGGAGAGGAGAAGGGAAGGAAAATGCTTGCTGATTGAAAGAATTAAAAATTTAAATAAAAATATAGGGAAATATTTTATATCTATCTTATATTTACTTATGTACATTCATGGTGCTTAGAGTGTAAGCTCCCTGAGGGCAGAGAATGTTTCCTTTTTGTCTTTGGATTCCTAGAGCCTGACACAGTGACTGGCTCATAGTAGGCGCTTGATGATTGTTTAGTGAATGAATGATTGCCCCCAAAGGACTGTTTTTGCTTTTTCTTTGTATCTCTAGTGATTACCATAGCGCCTGGCCATCCCTCCTTCCTTCCTCTCTTCATCCCTCCCTCCTTCCTTCCTGCCTTTCCTCCCTTCCTCCCTCCTTCCTACCTTCCTTCCTTCCTTCCTTCCCTCCCTCCCTCCCTCCTTCCTTCCTTCCTTCCTTCCTTCCCTCCTTCCTTCCCTCCCTCCCTCCTTCCTTCCTTTCTTCCCTCTCTCCCTCACACTCCACACCCATATCCAGCTTTGATTTTGGTATCAGATGGGGGAGCCTGGTTAGCAGAGGCTGTGCCCAGCTTCAGGTGCCTGGTAGGGGGCAAGTCACTGAACCACTCTGTGCCTCAGTTTCCTCCTCTGTAAAATGGTAGGTTGGACTAGACTGCCTCTGAGGTCCCTTCCAGCTTTGGAGCTCCGATTTCTGTGCTTTATAAGAACTTCCTGTCAATCAATCAACACTTATTAAACACCAACTGTATGTCAGGCAGCGTCCCAGGCAATGGGAATATAAAGACAAAAATGAAACTGTCCCTACCCTCAAGGATCTTGCAATTTAACTTTTCCCCCATTATATCCTAGGGGAAGGACAAGGGAAAGAGGCGAGAGAGGTATTGGGCAAACGATGAGGAGGAATAGCTGAGGATTCGAGGCCTGGCCCCCGCAGCCCCTGGGCCCCCACACCTCCCTCTCTCCCGGGCCTCCATCCTAGAAAGACGTCTTAGTCGAGGCTTGCCAAATGTCTTTCTCACAAGCTCAAAGCCCTTTATAAACAATTCTCCCCATTTCACAGATGGACAAAGTGAATCTCAGAGGCGCTGGGGCCTGCTCCATAGGAATGGGCCCAGGTTAGGACCTACGTTCTTTGACTCAGCTCGTCATGAATGAGACAGTGCGGCACAATGCAAAGTGCCTCAGGAAGCCCTGCCCTGTGCCCTCCTGACCTCCCCTCCACCTCCATCCCTCCCACAGGCCTCACCTTTAACACAAAAGTGTTGTCTTTGTCTGGCATCTCCAGGGGCATGGTGGTCCGGACCTCGATGATTGCAGAGAGAGGGATGCTCACCTTGGGTTTGGAGGCCTGAGAAAGGACACAGGAAGTTACTGATGACAGACGCATCAACCATTGGGTTGCCAGGCGCACAGACACACAGACACACAGACACGGACACACAGACACAGACACAGACACACAGACACAGACACAAAGACACACACACACCCTATCCTGTACCCACAACTCCGTACACCTTACAACTTTGCCCAACACTACCTGGCTTCTAGGGACCCAACCTAGGCTAATGCCCACATGACTTCAGTCATTGCAATCACTCCCACCTCCATTACCCTCTCTCCAATTTTCACACATCTCGTTCCTCTGAACACATAGATCTATAGGATTCAGAGTTCCCCAAGGGCAGGGGCTGTGATTAAATCCGGCTCAGGGCAGAGGCTCCCTGCAGAAGGGCTGTGTCTCACGGGACTGAGGGCTCCTTGAGGACAGCGGCTGCTTCTCACTAGACCAGAGGCTCCCTGAGGGCAAGGGCTTCCAATTTTCAGAGCACCCAGCCCAAGGCTGTTCATGCTCTTATTCAAACCATATAGGTCAGGCCTCAAGCCATCAGCTGCCACAATTCTAATGGAAAGACTTGGGGGAGAAAGAGAGACCAGAACACTCCTAATTTCCCCTGTGTCCCCAATAACTACAGCCTTTTAATTAAACGGAACAGGGCCCCAATGGAAGACATTAAAGTTAATGTCTTTTGTTCTACATCCAGAGCCCTGCTCTGTCTCTGGAGTCCCTCCTGCTTCCTTCAAACACATCTCCGGCAGGGGCTGGCCAATATACGAAAGTCTGGGTCCAGGCCCCCAGGTCTAGCCCCTCTGCTGTACCACTGGTCACCTTCTCCACCCACTGGACATTCTGGCTGGGAATCCCAGGCATGGGAGACAGAGGGAGCTGGCTTTCCCAGAAGGCTTTGTAGCTGGTGGGCAGGCAGGGCGGGTGGGAATTAGAAGCAGCTAGGGCCGCCATCCACCAATAAAGATGACCCAAGGTAGACTCTGGGGACCTCTCTCAGGAATGGGGGCAGCAGCAGCCTGAAACCATAGACACTTGGTTCTCCAGGGAGGGGACTACTCTTCCTTTCCCTCCCCCGGCAGAGTGTCACCTTAATCTGACGCTATCTGAGGCACGGATTGAGATGATGGAACATGGGTGACCAAGTTCCCTGACTTCGGTTCAGCAAGGGCTGGAGTCCACCTAAGGAGCACCAGGCAGCCCAGAAGAATGTATTGAGCACCTACCGTAGGCCAGGCACGCTGTTACATGCTGGAGATACAAGGATGAAAGCAAAGCAGACCCTGCCCTCAAGAAGCTTCCGTTCTAACAGTGGAAATAGCATGCATAGGCGTGTGTATAAGAAACAGAAAACAGAAGGGAACCTGGGGGGTGGGGAGGGGGTTCCTACACACACAGTTAGACTGTTATTCTCCCTGGGCCTGATGCATACTGGCCTTCCTCACCCCCCTCCGACTTCTGTCTCTAGGATGGCCCAGCTCTGGTCCTTTCCTAAGGAAAGTCCTAGGCTCCTCTGGCCAGAGGGGGCTAGAGAATGCTCTTTTCTAAAGAAAAGTCCACAAAGGTCAAATGGAACATAGGCACAGATGGTTGTGAGCCCCTTCCCCCCATCCTCCATCTCCACTCACTAAATCAGAAAGGCTTGCGCGCGCGCACACACACACACACACACACACACACACACACACACACACACACACACACGCCAGCTGTCTACTGCTTGAGATCTGAGCACTTACAGTGTGTGAGGGTACAAGTGGGACAAAGGGCAGTGACGGAGTCTTGAAAAGAAGGACCACGAGGCCATCCAGAAATCTGGAGAAAGGGAGCACAATGGCCAACCAGTCCTGGGGTCCACGGACAGATTTCAGGGGATCCATAAACTTCAACAGGAAAAACTGCCACCTGTCTTTTCACTAACTTCTAACTGCATTGAGCATTTCCTTCAATTATGATAATTACGAGGCAACCAATCGGATTCTGAGTAGGGGTTTGCCAGACACTGCCAAAGGGGCCCAGGACCCAGGACAAGCTGAGCCCCTATTCTGCTCCAACCTCCTCTCTTCACAGGCACAGAGATTAAATAACTTGCCTGCATTACACAGGTAGGAAGCATGAGATGTGAAATTGGAACCCAGGACTTTCCTCTAGATGGGAAATTCCCATACAGAGGGTGAGCGTTGGTGTCAAGGGCCTCCAGCATTTGCCTTGTGATTCTCTCCCCCACAGGCAGGAACAGCTAACTCTCTGGTTCCAGATCTAATTTAGGAAGAAGAGAGGCCTTTCCTCTCAGGTGACAAAGGTACCTCTTTGTCCCCAGCCAACTGCCTCCCTGGATCCTGCTCAGTGCCCCCCCCCCCAAGGCATGGAGCCTGCTGTGACTCCTCCCCACGACAGAGAGGGTCCAGGTTCTGTCATCCACCTTTGTCTCTGGGTTCAATGTTGGGTTTGACCCGTTTCTTTAGGTCGGGGGTGGAGGAGCTGAATGCTTGCTCTGAGGATGCACTTTGGGGGAGGGTTCAGTGGCTTGGGGATTTGTCTCATGGAGTCAGGGGAGGCAGGCAGGAGACAGCCGTGCTTCTTGGGGGACATACGACTGGGTTACAAGAATGAATCACAAAGATGAAGCCTCTTGACCACTGGGTGGTGTGGATCTCCTCGTCATTCCCCCCAGTCTGTATCATTAAATGAGATAATATTGTAAAAAGTGCTTAGCATCGAGCCCAGTACATAGGAGGTGGTATATAAATGCTTATTCCCTTCTTCCTCTCTCCTCCACCACCCTAAGAAGACACCTTTGCAAATACTGTTTCTTTGGGAGAGAGAGAAAATATCTGGTTCCACTGGGAAGGGGGCAGAGAAGGTACCTGAAGAGCATTGTCCAAGGGGCCAAGCACTGTCTCTCTGGCCTCAGAGGACCTGGGCTAAAATCCTGCCTTAGCTATTTACTATCGATGGAACTGTGGTCAAATGACTTAAACTTTCAGGGCCTCAGTTTTCCTTCTCTGTAAGATAATGGGTTTGGACTAGATGGACTTGTATGACCTTGGACAAGCCACTAAACCTTTTAGGGACTCAATCTCCTTAGCTGTAAAACAAGAGGCTGGTCCCTCATTGGCCCCTGAAGTCCCTTCTGACTTTAGACCTAAGATTTGATGATAGGCACCAGCAGCAGCCACCCCCTCTACAGGGGCTACCGGCCAGAGGTCAAGATTAAACACTTAAAGTATGAAGTGGTGGGCGCTGTCCTTTGTCTGAAAGGAAGCCAGCGCCATGTCATGGCAAGGGACCAGGAAAAGAATCAAGGAGCTTGGTTCTAGTTCCATTCAGCGACCAACAGGCTGTGTGACCCTGGGCCAGTCATCAACCCTCTTTGTTTCCATAGATGGGAAATGAGGTGGTGGAACCCAAGATCCTTCCACACTTTGACATTTGAAGGATCGAAGGATCGTTGAAAGGGAAAGTGAATCACAAGGGCAGGACAGGACAGTCTTATACCTCCACCCTGGTTGCTTTGATTCAGGGATGCTGGGTGAGAAAGGCCAACCAGGTCTACTGCCATGGCTGTGCCGAACTCTGGCTTGGCCAGGCTCTGCTGCTGGGGAGCCTGCAAAGATATCCCTGGCCCTTGGGCAGTTGGCCTCTGCCTGTTTTCCTCGTCCCGTGCATCTGCTCCCTCACCCAGTGAGTCTTTCCTGACTTCCTGGCCCACTGGAAGCCATTCCTCACCTGAACCTCCCCAACCCTTCCTCCATACTTTACTCCACCACACAAACCCTCTTCTCTAGTCAAATTGTTCTTCTCCTTCTCTCTCCTCACCCAGCAGTCCCCTCCTACACTCTCCAAACACCCCAGGGTTTGCTTTCCCATTGCCAGGTCTTTGCTCACAGCCCTCTCTCTGACTAAAGTATCTTCCTCACTCCTCTCCTTTGGCTAAGTCCTACTGTGGTCTCTTTGCCAGGCTGCAGCCCTAGCCCCCTGTGATACCTTCCCTGACTGCCCCAGGGTAGTGACAACGAGTGGTAACAAAATCCTCTTTTCTGATCTCTGATCCTCAAATACCCATTGGACATTTAATAGATATAGTAATCATAGCTAACCTTCACATAGTGCTTTTGCAAAGCACTTTGTCTTCATTATTGCGATATGATCCTCACAACAACCTTATGAGATAGGCATCGTTATTTCCATTTTACAGATGAGGAAACTAAGACTGAGAGAGATCATACGACCTACCCAGGGTCACAGAGCTGTTAAGTAACTCAAGGCAGATGGGAACCAAACCCAGGTCTTCCTGACTCCCAGCTCAACACTCTCCCCATTACCCCACCTGGCTGCCTTATTTAATTTTTTTTTATTTTTATTTTTAGGCAATTGGGGTTAAGTGACTTGCCCAGGGTCACACAGCTAGGAAGTGTTAAGTGTTTGGTCTGAGACTGGATTTGAACTCAGGTCCTCCTGACTTCAGGGCTAGTGCTCTATCCACTGCACCACCTAGCTGCCCCCTGGCTGCCTTATTTAGCACATACCTGTGATCATGTTATTTCCCTCTAGATAGAAGGTAAGCTCCTTGAAGGCAGGAACACTTATTTTTGTCTGTTTACCATCAGCACCTAGGACAGTGCTTGGCACATATTTAGTAGGCAATGGATCACAGGATCATAGATTTTAAGCTGAGACCTCAAAGGTCATTAAGTCCGACCCCCTTCATCTGACAGCTGAGGAAACTGAGGCACTAAGTGACTTGCCCACAGTCACTCAGGGGTAGAGCCAGGATTTGTCTTCTAACTCCCAATCAGTCTTCTTTCCCACCACCTGGCATTGCCCTGGGTGAGTGAGCATTTGTTGATGGAACCATTTAGTCTCTGAATATTTCTCTCGTGTTATTGTTTTTTAAAGTCAGACTCTGGTATTGTTAAACTTTTCAATGTACAAATCTTGTCTCTCCAAACTAGACTACAAGCTTCTTGAAGGCAGGGACTGGCTAGTATGAGGCATTAGGCACACAGTAGGCACTCGATGGATATTTTGATTAATGCATAAGATGACTACAAAGTAGCAGTTTGGTTTCATAATAAAAAAGATCACAGCTTACAAAATGAAACCAACATTGTCTCCTCCAAGGTAGTCACCATGAAAGGATGTATACTCATTCCCTTTCTGCTGCTGCTCAGATGCTGGTGAAATTCCTCTCTGAGAATTTCGGGCAAAGCCAAGACATGCCTACAATATATTTCCATCTACTATGCATCTAGCATCTCACATAAGGCGTATGAAAGTCCGGAGCTAGGAGAGGAATATGGTTATTAAATGTGAATTGTGGGTTGGCACCAATGAATCTTGGTCTCCCGAGGGCACGTGTGGTCTGGTGGAAAAAGGGCTGACTAGATTCAGAAGACTTGTACTCATATCCCTCTGCTACGTCCTATCCCATTTATTTCCTGGGTGACTGTGGGCAAGTCACTCCATACCTCCCTGAGCCTCAGTTTCCTCCTTGGTAAAATGGGCAGTTGGATGAGACGGCCTACCAGCTCTAGAAATATGTCCCTATAAACCCACTTAAAATAAAAGAAGAGCTAAAAGGAACCTTGGAGACCATCTCATCCGATCCCCTCATTTTACAGAGGAGGAAACTGAGGCTGAGGGAGTTATGAAGCAACCTGCCTATGGTCACACAAGAACTAAGTGGCAAAGGTGGGAGATGAAGCCCTCTGACTTCTCATTTTAAAAGGTGCCAGCCATGAACACACATTTCTGGGGTATAAATACCTCCATGGGTGAGGTCGTATTCTGTCCAGCAAAGGGAGGGACTGGAAGAGGAAAAGAACCAGCTTCTGTCTGCAGGGATGCCACAGTCAGGATAGGGAGACAAGACACGGATGTTCTCCTGACAACACCAGCGTGTGGTAGAGTAGTATAAATATCCCCCATTTTACAGAGGAGCCTACGAAGAGTCCCAAAGGTTAAATGACTTATCTAGGGTCATCTAGCTGGGAAGGGTTACAGCCACACTGCTCACTCAGGTCTCCTGATGCCAGGTTCTTAATGAGCTGAGCACGTGCCCCTGAGGGGCTGTTCCATAGTCTCTCCACCACACCCACACAGCTGGGCCTCCAGCCCTCACTCCGCCTGAGAGGCTGCATCCTCTCATCCTGCTCCTCTTGTTCTAGAGAACAGAGGCTAGGAAGATGAAAAGGACTGAACAGAGAGCAATCTGATCCCTCCCTTGTTTGACAACACCCAGCTCTCCCGGCTGTGGCAAGAGGCTCCTCTTGCCTTAACAGGTGGCCCCAATCGGATCGATGCTGAGCATCCTTCCTGGGTTTGCTCACCCAGAATGCCTGCTCGCCTGTGTCCCCCTCCTCATTCCTCTCCATCATGCCTTTCTTTTTAGTCTCAGTCCATAACGGCCCTCCTTGCCTGAACCCACCCCATGCCAATCACTCCCCCTCAGCTTCTCCTGTATCTTCACGCACCCACTTCTTAGAAGTATGCCTCATTATGTGGATTCTTGTCTCCCTGCCCTGACTGTGGGATCCCTGCAGGCAGAACCTTTTTCTTCTCCGTCTCCTGTCCCTGAAGCATGCTCAACAAAGGCCTGTGTGAACTCAACGGACGGACAGTAAATCCTAAACCACTTTAGTGAGTTTTTAAAAATGTGTATTATTGTTCCCTCCTCATGCCACCCCTCTTGCAGATGGGTCTGCCTGATAATGTCTGGCCCTGGGACTTGGCTCTTTCTAGGTACCCAGTGCTGCCTAGGGAAGGGGGCAGAGAACATTGGGCTGGGGGGGGGGGGCAGAGGAAGCCAGAAAGTATTTGTTTATTCATTCACTCCTTCAGTCACTCATTCATTCATTCATTCATTCATTTAGTCATTCATTCATTAAGTCATTCCTTCCTTCATTCAGTCATTCCTTTCACCATTCCTTCCCTCCCTCCCCTTCCTTCCTTTCTTTCTTCTTCCCTCCTGTTTTCCTTCCTTCTGCCATTCTTCTGCCATTTAGCCATTCAGTCAACAAGAGAGAGGCACATTAGGGCAGAGCCAAGAACACCAGCCTGGGAGTGAAGACCCCAGGGTGCTAAAGGCCCAGCTCGGTCCCTGTCACTGTGTGGCACTGGGCAGTTCAGACCCGTCTCTGGGCCCCCTTCCATCTCTAAAGCTTTTGCCTCTCTTCACTAAGGAGCTTCTGTCTGCATGGTCTTGTTTTGGGTGCCTGGTGGATATCAAACCCCTCCAAGCCCTCGTTGGGATCGACCATGAACATAGGAAGGTCCCAGATCCAGGGTTAGAAGGCACCTCAGAGATCATCATGCTGGTCATTTTTCATTAGGCTGTTATTTCCAAGCACACAATTCTCTATTTCACAGGGAGTGGTGGAGGAGAAGGACCTTGTGTCCGAAGAGGGCCAAGCCCTACAGCTCTCAGTCCCTGTCCCCAGCCTTCCTGACTCATCTGGGACCCTTCTGCTTCCCTACCCCATTCAATCCCTTGGCATGGCTGGACACCAGCCCCTCCTGGCTCCAGAACTCTGGAGCTGAAGGGAAGCAAAGAGACCATTGCAGCTGAGGAAAATGGCACCCAGGGAGTTAACTTATCCAGGATCCTAGAGGTGGCGGAGCTAAGATTCAAACCCAGGTTCTTTGACTCAAAGATTTAGAGCCAGAAGGGACCTTAGAGACATGTACTTCAACCCTGTTATTTATACAAGATAAAAATGAGACTCAGAGAGAGAGAGTCATTTGTCCAAGGTCGCAAGCATCTGAGGCAGATCTGAACCCAGGTCCTCAAAGTCCAAAGGGAAAGGCCCAGGTGGGCCTGAACTGGGATTGGAACTCAGCACTTTCAGACAGCATTCACGATCAGACCCCTCCCCCCACGAAGCTTCCCCCTCACCTTGGGGGGGACATAGAATTCTAACAGGAACCTCTCGCCCTCCACCTTCACAGCCTTCCGGAGCATCAGCCGACACTTCTGCCACTGGGAGCCGCCCACGCAGCCGGAGTCATCGGCCACCATGTAGCGCAGCGTCCCCTCTCGCTGGATGTCTGCCAATTCCACCTTGGAGGCCGGGCCCCGGGACAGCCGCAACCGGTGGGCCCACTTCTCCCGGGGCTCTGCCGGGGGCTCTCCCCCTCGAAGCCCCGATGGTTGGCCTGCCTCGGGCTCAGGGGATGCCCTCCGGTGCCACATCTCCTTCACGCCATCCACCACACACAGGCTCATGTTGCGCAGCGAGAAGCCCTTCTTGAACCGCGGCTTGGCCGTGGCATGGAAAGACACGTCCTCTGAGCTCCGGGATTGGCCGTAGGAGGAGACCTTGTGGGCCTGAGCCTGCTGGGCCTGGCTCAGGTAGCGGGCAGGGGGTGCCGCGGCCGTGGGGTCCATGCTGTCAAGGGGCTCGGTCGAGGTCTCCTCTCTGCAGGGCTGTGGCCCTCGGGCATTGGGCATATGGCAGGGCTGGAGCCCCACGAAGGGGACGATGTTGTACTTGGTGGGCGAGTCGGAGACGAAGACCCGGCTGACCTCAACGCTGAAGACGTCCAGGAAGTTGGCGGCGAAGTGGTGGGAGAAGGAGGCCTCGGCTCCCGGCGTGTCGTACTGGGGGTTCTCCTGGAGGAACCGACAGAATTTCTGGGCAAAGTCCACAGCAGCCGCCTGGGCGTGCAGCTCGCAGAACTCCCGCCAGTCGGGGACCTGGGAGGAGGTGTCCTGACAAGGGGCATCACCATTCATGGCTCACATCCCATTCCAACTTCCGGACAGCTGTGAGGGCGAGAAGGAGGCAAGTCAGGGGGCCTGGCACACAGCAGGCAGGTAGGAAATGTTTATTCCCTCCACTACTCCTCTTAGGGGCTAAGGAATTGGGACAGGGGAGGCAGAGAGCATTCAGGGAAGAGGACAGCCAGCAAACAGCACATCTAGATGCCCAGACCTCCTTGGCACACCTAGATACTGATCTCTCCTGATGGATCTGGACCCCGTGTCTTCCCTTCCCTTTTGACCCCCTTGCATTTCTGGACACCTGCCCTCTGGTGCATTAGAGGCTTGCTGAACTGGGGCTAAAAGGGCATCAGGTGCAGGCCTCTCATTTTTCAGATGAGAAAAGTGAAGCCTGGAAGGTGACTTGCCCAAGGTCACATGGGCAGTGAGTGGCAGATTCAAACTCAAGTCAACTTAGAAGACATTGGTCCAACCCATAGTTTCCAGATGAGGAGAGACCAGGAGAGAGAAAGTGTTTTGTCCAAGAGCATCGGACAGTCCTCAGACTGGTAGCAAGTGACTGAGGTTGGATTTAAACCTTGATGCTTGGGCTCAAAATCTTTCTAGGCTGAGTCCAAATTCCATATTCTTTCTGCTGCCTGCCCCCTTGGCCCCTTTAATCCCCTGGCAGATCCTGGCACACTGGGCCAGTTGGAGGCTGTCTTTTCTTCCCCAGCATGACTATTCTGTGGCACTTCTGGAAATTTAGCTTCTACCTCTCCTCTTCCCCCAAGAATCCTGCCTCTGGTTATTAAGAAACTGAAGAGGTTATGGGTGCCGAAGGTAGGCTCGGCCCACCCCACCCCTCCTCCAAGCCCTGGGCCTTCTCAGGGGCACCAGGACAGCCCACTGCTCCCCGTTCTCCTCCCAGTACTACAGAAGCCTCATCCTGATTGCCTGCCTTCTCAGCCCCTCCCCAGATGCATGCCTCCAAGAACAAATAAGTCTTAACCAGCCACTAATGTATTATTAGCACCCGCTCAGGCTGAGCTGGCAAGGTTGCTAAGGGCCTCTAGGCAGCAGGGAATTAGTGCCCAGAGACTTTCCTTTTCATTACATGAAGCCTCCCCTTAAACTCACCCTCTTCCCTTGGCAGAGAAGGCGAGGGGTGGGGGAGGGAGTGGCTGGGCAGTCAGGGCTCATCCCATCTCCCAAGGTGCCAGGACAGGCCTGTGCCCATCCGGCAGCCACCTCCGGGCAGCCAGGAGAGGGCCTCAATCTACCCAGTGTTTGGAGACATTTATCATCCTCGGCCACAAAATTCTCTCTGTGGGAGACTGGGTGGTGCTGGGCTCCCTGGGACTAGAGAAAAAGGAGGATTCATTCTCTAAAGGGAAGATGTTATGCCCAAACACTCTAGGACAGGCTGCCTGAGGCCCTGCACAGAGACAAGTGAAGGGGCTGGAGCAGATCTCTTCCAGGCACTTGCCAGCTTTAACCCTCAAGCTCTGGGGTAGGAGAAGCAGAGCTATGGCATCCTGGGTCAGGGCCAGTGACATTCAGAACCACCAAGGCATGGTGGGTGGCCAGACCTCCCGACCTCAACGTCCACCAACATTCCTACCTCCAACCTCACGTCCCTGGGAAGGGGGCGAGCCAATCGCTAATCTGAGAGCAAAGGCGTCTGATGAGGCAGATTTGAAAGCTGTCCCTTGTATGAGTGATAACTGTTTAATTCAACAAAATACTAGACAGCCCCCACCCTCAAGGAGCTTACCTTCTAATGGGGAGATTCTATGTACCGGGGAGTGATGTCCAGGAAGGAAATTTTGGGTGACTGGCTGAGATGTGAAGGAAGCAGGGTGTGTGCCTGGCTGATGCAGTGAGCTCACTGAGTCCAGGTGCAGCCTGGAGGACCCCTTGCCTACTGCCCTTTGGCATGGCGGGCTGGGGAAAGTTGCATGAGCCTGGGTCCCCTGGATCCCAACTCCATGGCTCAGAAATCTATTCCTCTGTCCTCTGACCAGGGAATTGAAGGAACACTAAAGTGGCACAGCGGACTGAGCACCGGGCCTGGAATCTGGAAGACTCACCTTCCTGGGTTCAAATGTGGCCTCTGACACTTCCTAGCTGTGTGACCCTGGGCAAGTCACTTCACCCTGTCTGCCTCCGTTTCCACATCTATAAAACGAGCTGGAGAAGGAAATGGCAAAGCACTCCAGTATCTTTGCCAAGAAAACCCTGCAAACAGGGTCAGGAAGAGTTGAATATAACTCACCACAAGAGTGACCACAGACCCAGCCACAGTTCACAAAGTTACTCAGAAAAGAGGAGATATGGCAGGGAGAAGGGATGGCAACAGCTGAGCCCCTGATCAATCAATCAAAAAGCACGGAGTTAAGTGCCTACTATGTGCCAGGCCCTGAGGGTGCAAAGGCCAAAAATGAGCCTGTCCTCCAAGAGCTTTGTACCCCTCCTGCCATCTGGGACAGCTCGGATTCCATGGGATGATATTCGTAAAGTGCTTAGCACAGTGCCTGGTATGCAGTAGGTGCTACATAAATGCTTATTCCCTTCCTTCCCCTGTCACTCCCCAATCTGTCCCCTGAATGAGCTTCCCCCAGGGCCTGAGCAAAGCCCTCGAAGAGTAAAGCCACAAGCTTCCTCCATTCCTTGGCCCCCATTCTTCCTGTAAAGCCAAGCCAGGCCCAGAGGACACCATGTTCTCCCAGGGAGCTCCAAGTCCAACGAGTTCATTAAAAGTCGAGTGTAAAGAGCCAATTTTGTGGTGACTGAATTGTCCTGTGATGGACCTGCTACCCCTAAGGTACTAAAAGTTATGTTTTTAATAATCAATTGCTATTGATTGAGTTTAAATCAGCACAAGCCAGACACACAGCTCCTGCTGGAAATGTGGCCACTCCCTAGAAGGAAAGGCGGGTGCCCCCAGCCTCTGCCCCTCAGAGACCCTTGCAGATAGCTACAGGCCAGTGGCCCCATCAGTAATGGCAGCAGGGGGCCAGCATCCAGGGATATCTTTGGGACCTCCTGCAGACAAAGCCTGCTCAATGGGCAGGGGACCCTAAGGACCACTTGCAGGGTGACAAATTGTTGGCCTCACCAAGCTGCTCTTGCGTCCCTTGGCCCTGTCCTGACAATGACATGAAGCCTTTGCTTCCCCACCATGGGCAAAGTCCTACATAGAGGCTTCCTGGGTCTTTGTTCTGGGCAGCTGCCTGGTGGGTGGGGCTCTTTTCCTACAGACCTGGATGGATTGTCTTGACCCAAGGATGCATCAAGTCAATTCTGGAGAGAACATTATGGAGGAGGGCGGTCAAGGGTGGTGGCATGGAGGAGGGCAGTGGGAATCCCTCTCTCCATGGGACTGAGTTGAGTAATGGGATATAAGGAAAGGTAGTTTGGGGCCAGATTTAAGAGGGCCTTGAATGTTAGATCCAGAAGGGGTATGATCTGTAGGGTTCTAGGAAGACAAACTATAGCTGCAGCATCATCTTTCCTCATTCTGGAATGCTAGACTCCAGATTGTGACCTACTGAACATCATGACATCCCCCCCAGCTCCCCAAGAAGAGAAACTGAGCTCCTTCACCTTGAAGGAGCCCACGGTAGGAGTACCTCCAAGGTCACCCCCCAAGGATTCAACATCTAAGCTAGGAATAGAAGCCAGGAGTCCTGACGTTCAGGCCTCTGCTGAAACCAGGCTCCTTGGGCCCAGCTCCCCGCTCCCCCACAAGCTCAAGTATGGGAGATCAGGTTGAGAGCCACGTTGGCCTCACTTCCAAAGAAGGACCCATGGGAAGCAGGTGGCTTCTTGTCCAGGGGCCAGGGCACAGCCCTCAGCCTGACCTGGCGCCACTATAACACCCCCACTGGGTGGAGGAGGAGCAGGGGGGTGAGGGCAGATGCAGGACACCCTGGCCAAGGAGTCTGGAGCCAGCAGAAACCAGAGCCCCAGGGGGACAGGTGGTTAGAGCTGCCTCAGTCCCATAAGGCCTCCAATCCCCTGGGCTTGGGGCAGAGGGAAGAGGAGGAGGAGGAAAACAAGAAGAGAGGTGGGCAGCAGGCGGGGACCACAGCCCCAAAGGGAACTTCAAGGTTTTCCTCCTGCACCATGTCCATTGCAGTTGTCCACTGCTCATACTCATCTGGCCCTGCCCCTGAAGTAGCTAGCCAAGGCTGGAAGAGGGCAGACACAGGGAAAGGGGAGGCCGGGAATCCTGGATGGTGACCCAGCAAGGGCCTGGTCCCCTTGCTCCTCCCTCCCCTCACTTCCCCTTCTCTTCTCCAGTCCCATTCACGCCCTTTCTCCCCTTCTCCGGACACACCCCTCCTCCTCTTCTCTCCCAGACTCCTCCACCCAGAGTCCCCAGCCCAGGCTGCTGAGTTCTCTAGGGCCCCAGAAGTAAGGGGATGGGGATGGGGGGCTAGGAAAGCCTTCCACAAGACAGTATTTGACTGGAGAGAGAGAAAATACACAAAGATATTGACTTCTAGCCAAGTCAATTGTTTCCACCAACAAAAGGCACCGAGCTGAGCGGAAGTCAGCAGAAATTACCCAGCCCTCCATGTCTCTGCCCCCCTCCACTTTGGGAAAATCTTTATGCCAGAGGAAGCCTCTGTTAGGCTAGGCCTGTGCCCAGAAAATACCCAAGAAACGGCCCTCTCTGCCCTTAATGGAGGCAGCATCCCCATCTGAGGTTTTCTCTGAATTTACTAACTAGGGGAGAAAAGCAGTAGGTTGGGCCCAAAATACTTAAGTGTGGAATGCATGGTCAAGGTCACCAGTAGAGGAGGTGAGCCTGGGGGCTTTGAGAGGGTGATGTGAATGTGGATAGGTCCATTTGTAGGGATGTCTAAATCCTAACAGAATCACCAATTTAGAGCTAGAAGGGACCATGAAGGTCCTCAAGTCCAGCCCGCACATTTTACAGGTGAGGAAACTGTGACCCAGGGAGATGAAATGATTTGTCCAGAGTCACACTAAGTATCTGATGTGGCATTGAACCTAAGTCTTCTTAACTCCAAATCCAGTGTTCTATTCAC